CGCTCTCTCTGTCGCTCTCTCGCTCTCTCTCGCTCTCTGTCGCTCTCTCGCTCGCTCGCTCTCTCGCTCTCTTTCGCTCTCTCTCGCACTCGCTCTCTCGTTCTCTCTCGCTCTCTCTCACTCTCTCTCACTCTCTCTCGCTCTCGCTCGCTCTCGCTCTCTCTCGCTCTCTCTCTCTCGCTCCCTCGCTCTCTCTCGCTCTCTCTCTCTTTCGCTCTCTCGTTCAATCTCTCCGTTTACTAGTCTCCCTCTAACATTAAATTTCTCTTTCTCTCCTTTCTCTCTTTCCCTTTGACTGCCTCTCTCTTTGTCTATCTCTGCGTCTGACATTTTTCTCTGCCTCTCTGATTTTCTGCCCCTCTCTCCTTCTATCTCCGTTTATTTCTGTCTCTCTCCGTTTATTTTTGTCACTCTCTAACAGTAGATTCGTCTCCCTCTCTTTCTTTCTCTCTGTTTTTCTCTGTCTCTTCCTCTTTGTCTGCTTCTCTCTGAAGATGTTTCAGTAAAGCTATTAGAGATTCACATTGTGGATACAAATTTGTTATTAAAATATTGACATTTTCTCTCAGAATTATTATAATTCTCATTCGCGACTATTTCTCAAAACAAGATGAAGGCTGGTGACAAGACAAGAGGAAAAATATTTTTTTTAAAGTAAGGTATTTGAACCCTAAAAGAGTGACTTTCCAACATTGGTTAAGTTAATTTAATTCGTTTAGTTTTCGAAAGAATAATCAATTCATTAAAATGAATTAAACTATTTTATTTTTTATTATGATTCCTAATATGTCTTACTGTGATTAAATAATAATTACTTTTATGGAAATAGCCAATTCTGTAAGTCGCGAAGGATAGCCAAGCTGGCATGAATTGCCGGCGAGCGGGTAATGGCTACGCGCGCGCTGCCGCAGGTGCGGGCCGCCCACGCAGCCGTCGCTGGACCGCGCCACGCAGCAGTCCTGCCACGCCGACCCCGACCTCAAGCAGAGCGCCTTCCGCGTCGGCGACGACTGCGTCTTCGAAAGGTGGGGGCGCACGCACGTGACAGACACACGCGCGCGCCGGGTGGGATGGCTTCCATCTGGGCCAGGGCCATATAACTCCCATATGACGTGGCGGGGACCATATCAGTGGCGCGCTCTAGAACATTACCTTCTTACACGAACTAAAATACGAACTGCTACCAACGTTATTTAAAACGTCTCGGGACGCAAACACACGCGCTTGATACAAAAGTTTGCGCCGCTGTTCGCTCTACCTTTTCTTTCATGCGTGTATTATTATGAATAAATGAATTTTAGAAGATAAACACATAGTATTTAACTTCCTTTGTAATTTATTTCAGAAATCGATCATAATCAAAGTGTATTCGTATTTCTTGACCAATTTTAATGTGAGAAAGTTGTCGGCCTTACCAGCAGCTGTATCCGGTGACACTGGCGCATCCTATAGTAGCAACTTCTAGCTTTGTCCCCAATTCTGATGGAGATATGCTGGACCCTGCATCAGGGCCCTGCAACTCACCATCAAAGCCGGGAACAAAGCTGGAGGGTGCTACTCTAGGATGCGCTAGTGTCGTCGGCTGCAGTTGCAGGTTAGGCTCGCCAACTTTCACACATACAAATTAGCTCATTTTTGAGAAATAAGAAAAGTGTATTTTAAAAATTCAAATACTTATAATATACACATGTAAGAAACCTCTTAAGAAAGCGCGAACAAAGACGTTATCGTTTATAATATTATGGGCCTGCTTGCGACCCGCGAACTCACGCAGCAGCCACACACGTTTTAAGTACCGTTGGCAGCAGTTCGTGTTTTAGTTCCGGTAAGAAGGTGCTGCAGCAGAGAACGCCACCGTAATGGTTTTCACCATATTATATGGGAGTTATAGGACCCTGACCCCCACGTCCCTGGTTGGGAAGGTGGGTGGATCGAGTCCCAACAGAGGATCATTTTCTAAACTAGCAATAAGGCTTGGCCGAATTAACACACTGTTTGGAGGAGAATTGTAGTGGCCCGTTGCAAGAATTCTTCTTCAACTCTTAAAGGTTTACCTTATATAATCACATGGACAACATGTTTTAATGTAAAATAAGTGTCCTCTTATTGAGAATCTGTTAAAATTTCTCTCTACTACTATCTTAATTATCTCTGTAGACTTCGAACTCTTGTATCAAAGAATGCGAAAGCAATAGAGATAATGAAGATATCAGTGGAGAGGAATTTTATAAGTATAGTAGAACCCCGGTATTCCGAAGAAATTGGGGCGTGGTCTGTTCAGATTCGGAAATGTTCGGATTATCTGAAAACATTTACCGTACGTATTCAAATACGTCTACAGGAATACCAGTTACAATGCAACGTCCGTGCAATGTGAAAAGCGTTGTCACTTGAAGTGGCAATTTTGGGAACAAAAGAGTACTGTACGTATGTATGGTTAGTACGTGTATGGTTAGTACGTACCGTTGTATGGTTAGTACGTACGTACTCACTGATCGCATGCGGTAGTGGTTGCTACATTGATTTCATAATTAGTGTATTTCAATAAATAGTTGTTCAGTTTTACAGCAATTATAAAATCTTCACTACAAATAAATATTTTATTTATTTTGTTTATTTTTCCTACATCCTGAATTTTGTTCGGATTATACGAAATTTCTGATGTGCGGGGTTCTAGTGTATATGTATATTCCCTTGGGTGGCTCATTGTCAGCGAATTAGCTTTCTGTGAGGTGGTCCATGTTTTGATACCTGGCTGGGACACAATTGAAGCTGTAGCGTTCTAGTACTAAATCGAGTCAGTAACTACAGCTGTATTAATAGCGAATAAGCTATGTACGGTAGTGGAAATGCGCCATGCTTGCCATATATCTCCCTTACTCTCGAGGCTAATATAATAAATATAAACAATGCCCGAACCTGGGAACTCCGCTATATGCAAACTCGACTCTAAAATTTCTGGAAATGTCACACAAACTTATACACCTCACACACGCGTGTCTCTGTGGAAATTAATACATTGATCATACACACACGCGCGTCCATAGAGACATGTGTGTATGATCAATGTATTAATTTCTTTGGTACTAAATACCGTTCATTTCAGCAGCGAATTTTCCTTGTCATGGAATGAACGTTGGCCCATGCAAGTATTTCTTCTTCATTGCGTGCATCATTTTAAAATATTAAAGTTTTTCTAACGCGGCAAATTAGTGCCTACCTGCGCTAGACATTTTAAAGCACTAGGCGATTGTGTCGATGTTTGCGTGCGAGCACAGGTGCTCGGAGTGCGGCGTGCTGAAGGAGGAGTACAGCGACGAGGAGCTGGGCCTGTGCATCATCATCCTGGGCACCTTCATCCACCGCGAGCCCGCGCTCGCCGCGCCGCTGCTGCCGGAGATCCTCAGCACCGTCGCGGGGTGAGCCTCGCCCACCTCCCTACCTCCCTCCTCCACCCCTCTGTTCGAGGGCTGCTTCTCTCACCCACTCGGAAGGAAAATAAGCTGACATAAGGGACATGACTAGAGCGTCTGAGTGAGTTGGATCGGGGACTCGAGTTAATGGAAAAACGGTACCTCTCAGAATAAATAATATAAACTTCTGAGAACATGTAAGAGAGCTGAAAATTATAAATTGTTGACAATAAACATAGGGTGGGAAATCTAATATAACGATGTTACACGTGTGACATTTGCCCCGTATAGTACGCAATTTACCGCGTTTCGTCTGTTCAGATTTTCATGCAAAGAGATTTCGAGATCCTGAGACACCAGTATATCATTCTTTTTCTGAGATTCGCATCCAAGTTACGCATCAACTACAAATTAAAGGAAATAGAGACACAGATGTGTGTATGTTGAATGGTACGAACTGATATAGATCATGCCGGTTTTTATTTATGATTATTTGACTTTTGTATAAACATCTCACTTGCAGAGTGATTGGTTGAACAATCGCTCATGGTAGTCCATCAACGTTCGCTTCCTCCGCCAAGAGCTCCTTGTCCTTCCGTACATTAGAGTCAAATTCCTCGCTTGAAAGCCTCTTGCGGTGGGAATATTCGAGTTGTCATAAAGGACCAGAAACTTTATCCGTTTCTTCTCGTTCAGAGATTACTAGTTCCGGAATAGAATAGAATTGAATGATAAGATACCTAATGGCGCTTCCTTGCCGCTTCGTTGGGATACTTCCTCTGAGAATACCACGTATAAGATAGGCCGAGAGCGACCTCTACTCACGACGCAAGTTCTAACCTCCCTCTTCCCTTCCTAACTGTCAATGTCATTCGGACTGCCTCCTGGAGCAGAGCGGCGTTGGGTTGCCCAGGCTGGCGCTGAACGCGAGCTACCCGTGGCAGAGCGAGGCCAACATCTACCTGCCCGGCGGCGCCACCAGCGTGGCGCACCAGTTCCTCCGCTGCGTGCTGCACCAGCTGGCGCCCAACGGCGTCTTCACGCAGATGTTCCAGACCCAGGCTGAAGGTGAGCGTCTCCCCATCTACTCTCACCGAGAGGAAGGGTTAGAGTCACGACGGTGGCGATTTTGGGATACTACCTGTAGCTAGGTCGAATTCAGCCGCTGACTGGAGGAGAATTCTAACGGCCGGCTGCTCTGATTGGTAGTTTACCATGGTTGCTCATGGTAAACGATCAACATCAGGCGAAAGCCAGAGCAGACACCAATGAATTGACGACAAACCGCGCGTAATCTTCCGTTTCTCATCTTTGTACTTTCCATTCCCCCTACTCACCAACACATCTTATTGCACCACTGTTGTACGTTGAGCGGCCGCCCAGCCCGGGTCTTAGATACTATCTCGGCTGGGGCAGTGTCACTCTGGGAGATATACCTGTAGGAGAAAACTCCGCAAGCCGATGTGTAGGTCGGCCCTGTATCATAAGTTTCAACGGAAGAGCTGCAACGCCATATCTCCGCTTTAACACGCACTATACTCACAGGACTAATGACCAAGTTAATAGAGCAAGAAATACACATTCCCTATTCTGGACTTCCAGTTCGTCTCAGCATTTAGCCTTTCCCTTTCCAGTTCACAAGTTATCTCAGTACAATATGGTGATTGGCTCGTACATCAGGTTGATTTCATGCGATAATGGAACTTTCCTACGTACACTTACAGGAGAGCTGACTACGGTTTTCGATAGAGAATGGGGCACCACTAATGTCATTGCAATACATTGGCAGTGAAAAATATTTCAGTCACTTAAAATTGCTCGAGTTTCAATTAATCATTGTCACTAAACAATCACCATTTACCAAATTTATCATATCAGCCCCGTTTTTACTGCATTTACTATTCTACCATTACTTCATAAAAATATTTAAACTTTGTATTAAGTGTATCGTTGAAGTGTGTGTATCCAATCATATTACGATATCAATATGTATAAATTCATAATACTATTTGATTAGTATGTTAATTTGTGTTTCCGGAATTAATTGTTGGATGTGAAAGGTATGGCAACTGATGGTAGGTGTATGAGAAATAATTCCAAATCCTGATAGAATTAGAATATGTACTTCTGGACGTCCATAGAATAAATAAAAAAAACCAACGATGCCACTCACCACATGCAGTGTTGTGCACACGTGACGCCAGTGGCGACGCCACTCCCCGGAGCGCTGACGCGCGCGCGGGCGTGCGCTTCCCATTTGCAGACAGCGTGCGTCTGCAGTTCTTCCGCAGCGTGGCGCAGGCGCTGCTCGACTTCAACGAGCTGAACCCGATCGCGCCGCTGCAGCTGCTGCTGGAGAGCCTGAACGCGCGCAAGGCGCTGCCGGCGGCCGCGCTGCCGCACGTGCTGCGCAACGCCGCCTGCTACCTCGACTGCCTGCCGCTGGAGGCCGGCCTGGGGCCCGGCCCGGCCACGTGGCTGGCCCTGCTGCAGCAGCTCGACGTCTTTTTCCGGCGCGTGCTGCTGCTGCTGCCGGCCTTCGACGACCTCAACCCGCTGCTGCGCGTCATGGTGGCCGTGCTCAAGGTGCCCGGCGTCTCCGCGTGCAAGGTAGGGCCTCGCCCGCGCTCGCTGGCCACACGCTCTGCCTACGGTTTGGTGGACATTTTGGTGCGTAATACGAGTATAGTATACTCGTACAAGTATACTCGTATTATACTAACGTAGACTGTTATAGCGCAACGACGAATGAAAGCCTCTTTACTGCTGAAGTTCGTTTTGAATTTAACGGTCCGCCAACGTTTGATGAAACTTAACTCCTCCCCCCACACACATTTGTATGCGACTGTTATGCTCTGCGTACACGACTGCTCACTTTCGTAATATTATACTGCACTGGACTGTTATTATATCGCCACGAGAAATGAAAGCCACTCTTGACTGCTGGATTTCCTTTTGAATTTAACGGTCCGCCACCCGTTAATGAAATATCATCCGTTGATTCCTCTTTCCCCCTCACAGATTTGTATGCGACTGTTATGCTCTGCGTACATGACTGGTCGGCAATCCACATTCGAAATATTATATTGCACTTTCTATATAGAAACGAGGAACGAAAGCCGCTTTTTATTACTACTGTCCGTTTTGAATTTTACGGTCCGCCACCCGTTAATGAAATAACAAACGTTGACTCCTTCCCCCCCCCGAACACATTTGAATGCCATTGTTATGCTATGCGTGCACGACTGGTCGGCAATCAACTTTCGTAATATTACACTGCATTGGACTGTTATGTAGAAACGAGGAACGAAAGCCACTTTTTACTGCTGGAGTTCGTTTTGAATTTCACGGTCCGCCACCCGTTAATGAAATATCAGCCGTTGACTCCTCTTTTCCCCACACACATTTGTATGCGACTGTTATGCTCTGCCTACATGATTGGTCGGCAATCCCCATTCGAAATATTATACTGCACTTACTATATAGAAACGAGGAACGAAAGCCGTTTTTTATTACTACTGTCCGTTTTGAATTTAACGGTCCGCCACCCGTTAATGAAATAACAGCCGTTGACACCTCCCCCCACACACACATTTGTGTGCGACTGTTATGCGCTGTGTACACGACTGGTCGGCAATTTACTTTCGTAATATTGCACTGCATTGGACTATTATTATGTAGAAACGAGGAACGAAAGCCATTTTTTACTGCTGGAGTTCGTTTTGAATTTAACGGTACGCCACCCGTTAATGAAATAACAACCGTTGACTCCTTCCCCCCCCATCCACACATTTGTATGCGACTGTTATTCTCTGCGTACATGATTGGTCGGCAATCCACATTCGAAATATACTGCACTTACTGTATAGAAACGAGGAACGAAAGCCGCTTTTTATTACTACTGTCCGTTTTGAATTTAACGGTCCGCCACCCGTTAATGAAATAACAAACGTTGACTCCTTCCCCCCCCCCGAACACATTTGTATGCCATTGGTATGCTATGCGTGCACGACTGGTCGGCAATCCACTTTCGTAATATTACACTGCATTGGACTGTTCTGTAGAAACGAGGAACGAAAGCCACTTTTTACTGCTGGAGTTCGTTTTGAATTTCACGGTCCGCCACCCGTTAATGAAATATCAGCCGTTGACTCCTCTTTTCCCCACACATATTTGTATGCGACTGTTATGCTCTGCGTGCACGACTGGTCAGCAATCCACTTTCGTAATATTATGTTGCACTGGACTGTTATTATATCGAAACGAGGAAATAAAGTCGCTCTTTATTACTGGTGTTCGTTTTGAATTTAACGATCTGCCACCCGTTAATGAAATAACAGCCGTTGACTTCCCCCCCCCCACACACATTTGTATGCGACTGATAAGTAGATTTTGGACTGTGCAAATCCATACGTGGAATTTGATCAGCATCGGTAGATGGCATTTTTAAGTCTGCGATTGACGATTGAAAGCATCGATGATTAAGAGAATTCGAGTTTCATCCCGGGTGAATGCGAGATATTTGTTGCGTGTTATCATCCGTGAGTTTGTGAACACATGATATCGAGTTAGCAGCTCGACTGCCTTGGTGATTGGTTTTCTAGGTCGCCTCTAATCTAGTTTCGGAGCTGAACCCTATATAAAAGTGTCTTCTTTCCATTCCTGTCCATACATCTCCCCTATTAAGATTAGAACAGCAAGGGGAAGTAAGTCTCTCATCTCACCCGCTAAACGAAGAGAAAATCAATATCCGTAAACTATTGAATATTGGTTGTAACATTATTTTTTATGAATGGAAGTATCTTTAAAAAAGTTTACTTAAAATTTTCATTCTATATTTTGCATCCGTTGTTCCCATTTTCTCTCCCTCCCAATTTCAATAAAATATTTTATAAAATCACTCGTTCATTTTCACATTTCATGTGCCATTAAATGTGCATTAAATTTTTTCATTAAATGTGCCGTCACCTTCCATCATATTACTCTTCATCCTCCAGATGATGTCTCAGAGTGTAGGTTTTGTATGAGAGTGAATATTACATGTAGCAATATATTAACTCTGTACTTTATGATATTTTTATTGCATTCGGCAGAACTTTGTTTCTACAATTAATTTATGTTATCAAATTTTATAAATTTTGAATTATGGATGACATTTCAAATTTTGACCTGTGAATCTTCTTAACTGCTATCGCGTTCTGTCGAAATATTTGTAATTTGAGAAGAATTTTTCACCATATTCGTGATATCGATGTTCCTCTATTTTTATTTGTGATAACACTTTTTTATTTCAGGGAATTTTGGACCCCATCTCCAAAATAATGTGCTACGCCATCGAAAACCATATATTAAAATCCAACTATATTACTGATTTGTGCTACCTCTGCAACAGAGGATTCACTCGAGTAAGTATATGTGTCCTTTTTTCAATTTAAACAACTCTTAAGTTTTTCTTTTCTTATTATTTTACTATATTATGTGAGAGTTTATTGACAAAAGGTCATTTGGAATTCAAAAAATTGTTTATGCTGACTATTCGATGTTTTTTTTTAAACATTTGTCAGAACCATTAATGACAAGTGTATGGTTTTATAACACACTATTTCATTTTCTATTTTAATTTTCATAAAATATTGTTTTATTAAATCTCAAACTACGATTTATGTTATGCTGCATTATAATTCTACTTAAATTTATTTTATTACAATTCATTGTATTATTCATTCCATTCATTGTATTATATTATTTGTATGGCCCCAAATTTAGTACATTTGGGTGCGGACATTATCAGGTAACGTTCTGCTCATTACAAATAAAAAATATTTGTTCTGAGAAAGGTGAAATAGACACCGAAACGTTTAACTTAAACAGATATTTAATTATAAACCCCCGTTGATCTCTGGTCAAGAAGCTCCTTTGATTTCGACTGTTTGGTTTGGTGCGCCGCAGGAACGCGAGAAGCTGATCCTGACGCGGACGGTGGTGTTCGAGCTGGTGCAAGTTCTCAAGTTCAAGACCACCATCCCGGACTCCAACTTCATCCTGCTGGTGGTGATGGTGCTGCAGGACGCGGGCGGCGCGCTGCCGGCCAACCTGCTGCTGCACGAGTGGGCGGCGGGGGC